TCTTGTCCTTATGATCAAGCCAAGTATTAGCCAGATCGGCATTGCTTATCAATTTTACTCCATCTGAAAAGTATTATAAAATAAAGTTCGTCGCAAGCAGACGCAGGTGAACTATACAAAAATTAAAAGTATATGAATATGGCAACAAAAATATTCAATAAATACGATATGTTTTGATATGTTTTTTTTAAATGCCTTTTTGAAGTTTGAAAACGTAAAATTTTTATACCCATTTAAGAATCATCTTAAAAATAAATAAAAACTAAACAATCACGAACTTGTTTAAAAAAAATTTAAAGTACATACCTTGTTTAACAATATCCATAGTGGCTTTCGACAAATGCCATATCCAAACTACCTCCATTTAAATCCCGAATAACTTATGAAAAGGAATACAAAAATTTTCAAAAATGGAAGCAATTAAAAAACGTACGAGAAAAAATAAAGTTTTTAACCTATTCTCGCTGTTAAAATATCATTTAATCTACCCTTGCGGTTAAAGTACTATTTTATCTAGTGTTTTTGATAGATATAAAGCAATTTTAACAGTTGCTATGGAAAAAAGGAAAAAAAGTAAAAATAGGATCGCTTTGTTGTCTGTCTGTCTATCCTTCTGTCTGTCAAGACCCTTTATCTCGAGAACGCGTGGAGGTATTCAGTATCAGGAGGTATTCAAGTTAACACAAAATAAATATATTGCCGTTTATGCCACAAAAAACATATATTGTAGTAGACCAACATATAACAAAACATATAAACAGTAGACATCGGGTATTGAACCGATAAATGTGTTTTATACAGAGCGATCGGCAAGGAAATACGTACGTGCTCGTAGTAAAGTGTAATGTCCAAAAACAATTAAAAACAATAGTTGATATGTGTTATTGTGTTGTCCAGTTTAACATATTTTAACTCTGTAAGAATCTACGTTCAAGAGGCTTGAAAAAGACATATACTGTCGAAACGTCATCACAAAATAAAAAAATAATGAACAAAATCTAGAAACATCTTTGCAACCCCAACGACCTAAAGCCAAGAGTGAAAACAAAAAAAAAATTAAATAGTCCTTATACTACTTTATTATAAGTCGAATACTATGTAAAAAGGATAAATCCTTTACAATATGGCAACACCAATTAGAGGCGAGGCCGCCTAGTCATTCTTCTATATCTTGTAGTATGCGTCGCACGTGTGTAGTAAAGCATTGTTGCCGCTACTTCTCTCTGGCTGAATTATTGCATTTTCTTAGTTTGTAGTCCTTAAATGTTTATTTTATTTACTTTTTGTATTCAAGAACTATAAAATATGGTTCGCCAGTGCCAAATTTGTAAGAAATTTCACTTAAATGGTCGATTTGAGTCTCGAAGCGACTTTCGACCGGTAGGCAACTCTCAATTTACCAATTGGGAGTCAGTGGCGTTCTCCAGAGGAAGCCTTGATAAAGATAACATTTTGTAGATCAGTAAATACATTCAGTTAAAACACCCAAGTAACACAATATCATTGTCAACATTGTTTTAAGTTGTAATATTCACTTGTAAATTCAATAAATAAAATGACAAAATACCATCTTGTTAATATCCTGACGCAATAAAACAAAATAATATTAAGTACTGTAAATGGTATAGAGCGTCAAAAATAAAAATGGCTGTAACTTTTGATACACATAGTATAAACCATTCACCCCTATATCAAAATGCTGGAAAAAGTACCAGGAATTGAAATCTTAAAAATATATAGGGTGTTTTATTTAAAAGTTTGGTCTGTAGCACTTTTCTGACACACCCCGTATAATTAAAAATATTTTAACAAGAAGCAATTTGTTATTACTTATAACTTTTGTATTAGCATTATTTTGAAATTCTTAATAGCAAACGAGATACTGGACTTTATCGCACTAATTGAACACCCTGTATATAAAATAGGAAGGTAAAAATGTAAAAAATATTTTTGATGAGTGTAATTTTACATAAAAACATTATAAATAACAATTATTTCCTTTATTTCAAAAACAAAATTGAGTGTCCCCGTAATTTTTCCATTTAGACCACCGTGCGGCGGCGTTAAAAATACTAAGTTTTAATCAAGGAGCATTAGAAAAATAGTTTTGATCGTCTAATGTTTTTCGTGTCTTGTCTAGGCCGGTTAAAAGATGCACAAATCGCATTTTTAATCATATGTCAATTTTTTTTAATGGAACAAGGGTAACTGATTAGCATATTTCGAAAAAGCATTTTTTTATGAATATATTGATACTTGGTATTTCGAGTCAAATTGTCGTTATGAACCGCGTGTTACAATTTCAATTAAACCATATGCGAAAATGTCAAAAGTTGACATAATATGATATGTCATTCTATTCAGAGTGTCATTTTCTATTGAATAAAGTAGAGATATACCTAGGGTGTCATTTAAAAATCAGAAGTTATAGTAATTTTCGGTGAAACAGGAAGTGACCAAAAACAATTGAATGCGCCAATCAATCCTAATTTATGTCATATACTAGCATACCAAATTGTTTATTTTTATTAGAAAAATAAAAAAAAATTATAGGGTGAGCCACTTTTGGGACGCAGCCGGTATAATAAAGACAATACCGGGTTAAATAAATGTAGTTTTCATTTTATCCACTTCCTAAAAGCTTGCTTTAATAAAACAGATCTCTGTTTTTCTTTACATAATAAGACATCACTTACCAAAAAAAAAACAATAATCGTGAAGGTTTTTCTCTTTCCATGCCGCCATTATATCTATAGAATAGATCCTGTGTTGATTAATATTAGGGTTGTAAATGTTTGACTAAAATTAATAAATAATTTATTAATTTCAAAAATTAAATAGGTAATTTCGATTATTAAATTTTTTTCTATAACATGTATTTTATTATTTTTATCGCTTTTGAACGTTTTTTTTTTCTAAACTTTTATTTAAAAAACCTCTCCTAAATCTTAATAAAATATAAAAAAAGTTAAATACGATATATTTTTAATTGATTTATAGCTTCGTTAAAATAAAAAAATTACCCGGCTATGGAGAGTTCAGGGGTGCAACTTTATTCAAGTTAGCAACCGATCCTTTAGAAGCGATGTCGAAGTCAGATCGGTACTATGTTCATTGCAAAACTATTGTCGTTCAAATGCTGCGAAATATGGTATCACTATCACACTCTTGCACACGTGTGCGACACGGTCTAGACTATCGTCTCACCACAAAGCGAGAAATCAGAATATCGCTACGAATTGATGTTGCTACTGAAGATAGTGCATCAAGCTACAAATTACTTTGCTATCGCGTTGAAACATGAACAAAGTTGCACCCCAGCTGTACTGAGGAACGAAAGAAAGTGTTGCATTCCTCGTCAGAGTCGCCAGGGAACGACCGTTACGACGGATCTATCGCTCGTGTCGCACTCGTTAGAGCCTAAAACAATAACACAACAATAACAAGACATTGTCTGACCGCATCTTCCAGCTATTTATGAATGAGATCCTCAGTCTATATTTTATTTTAAGTCTATGCGTATAATATATTTTTTTATTGGTAATGGCATTATTTCAAAATGGGTAATATCAGCGTGTCTTAATCTGGACGTGGCACCCCCGTGGAAATAAACTACTACATATTTTTGGAATCAAAATAAAGTTAATAAATAGGACAATGCACACTATGCGTTCCGTTTGCGTATAATTTGCATTGGTATGTTTTATAGTGTGAATACAATCAAAATTATAGTGAGAATCAACCTTTAATTGGGCACATTTTACATCTATACAAAAGCGCTCCTTTATCGGTTAGAAGACATCAAATTACATATTTTTTTAGATATTTTAGGAACCATTATTGTGATGTATAGTAGGAACTGATCTCCCACATTTTAAAATAAAACCCATATTGGTTATATAGTTATTACGTAACCTTCAAAGATCATTGAACAAACTATATCAGGAATGAGAGTGTATAAAACGATATAGTTTGAGGCGTGTAAAAAAATTATGTAAAGCAAAAATCTACTTTTTTGGATTAGTTAGTACATCTTTTTTAAAAACGCTGTTTGCTGTTATTGTGTTGTATAGTTTTTAAGTGTATCCAAAAGTTATAAAATCTCAAAAAAAGAACGAAAAGCTTATATGCCTCCTGGTTATTTTTCCTTTGTCCCCCGTAATCGCGTCTACAATTTTATTCTAAGTTATATTTTTATTTGAATTTTTATACCGATTTGGTCATTGAAACTGGGCGGTCTGGATTTTAACGTGTAAGACAATGACATAGACAGCTTAATGGAAAATCAAATGTATTAAAAAGAGATAAAAATTGGGTCGATACATTTCTTCTATGCGGTATTACCGGATTTTGCATCAAATTACCTTCATTTCAGTCGTATACATGATGATACACATTTTCCTACAAACATAAAAACCGGCAACACTGTATGCTGCTTTTGATTTTGTCTCTCGTGTCAACCGGTCATTTATATTATTCTCTGTCACATGCATTAAAATCCAGACCACATAGTTTGGATGACCAGCGGGATATACTAAATTTAGTAAAAAATAAGACGCCCCAATAAATTACATCTACTACAATAAAATTACAATTACAAAAACTACATCCTGTCAGCAATATAGGGTCACGGGTCGGTATTTAATTTGCATGTCTAGGAGTAGATCGCTATGGCTATCTTGTAAGTGGGACGAGAAAAATGCGAAGTGTTTATTACATAACTACTTAATACGGCGCTTTATTTCATGCGCTTGGAAAAGTACTTGCTCTTCTGTCTTTGTTCAGTACATCTTATTCTTATTGCACTGAACACATTAAGATCGGCTCACAGGCTCATCGGTTTATAGAAAATCTGTAAATTTATATCATAAATACTTCAAAAGAGGGGACTCTTATTGTCGCATCTGTATAACAAATTCATGGAAAATATTTACCGACATTTATTAATGACCACGTTTTTATTGATACTGTATTAATCTATGGTTTCTTTTGTGTTTCAGGTATGACTTTTTCTTGATTTCGCAGTGCGTTAACCAGGGCACAGTGGCGCCTACCAGTTACAATATTATTGATGATAATTTGGGCATAGACCCGAACAGGATCCAACGATTCACATACAAATTAACTCATATGTATTATAATTGGTCTGGTACAATTCGCGTACCAGCCCCATGCCAGTATGCCCATAAGTTGGCCTTTATGACTGCCCAGTATTTGCACAGGTATGTTTTCTATTTTTTACATTTTTTGCCATTTTATGTTACTTTTATAAGAAAAATTGTTATCTTCATTTATTTTATTTCCAGGTCAGCCAGTGCCGGCTTAAATAAAACTTTATTTTTCATTTAAGTGGATATTGCAGAGATAAAAAAGGGTATTGAATGTTTTGTAAATGTTTTATATATATATATATAGATCTGATGTACAATCAGTAGCAATCTACTGAATTTAAAGAAATAATTTTCCATTTTTTCAACAACTTCGTTTATCAAGACTTAAGATTTCGTTTTTGTTGTATTTCCTATTTCATTTTATCCTAACTTAACTATAATTTGACCCTTTTTTCTCGCGTTTTGTTTCAAAGATTTCCTTTGTATTTTCATATAACTTTTGTTTATTTTTTCGCTTAGTTTTTTATGTTACAAAGATTATTTTTTGTCTTGTAGTTTCTAAAACAGTTTTACTACTTAATGACTGTGTTTATAATGTTAAAGAGCTTATGTTTAAGTTTTATTCAGGGTACTGAATGAACAGTTGTATTTAGATTTTAAGAATGTTATTTTTTTTAATATTTTTTCAATAAAAGATTTAAAAAATATGTTTTATTTTGTTTATTATTCAAACTTCCATTCTAAGAGTTTGAGGTACTCTGTTTCTAACATTTTGCCCACTTTTACTGACTCTAAACATATCTGAAACTATAATATTATAATATTTGAAAACAGAATTGAAATGTTTTTTAGAATACCTTTTGTTTCTTCAATACATCGATTAATTTCATCTGCTTTTTAAATCCATTCAGTAATTCCATTTTTTGTTTTTCAATTTGTTTTAATGCACTGTTTAGTTCATTGATCTGTTTTCTGTAGCTTTCTTTTAATTCCTGAAAAATAATAAATACTTTTTTTATAAATATAGTTTAAAATTCTGTATCCATAGTCTGACCAGTAAAAGAATGTTATTTCAACAGACTAGAACATAAATATACTGAAAAGGGAAGGCAACAGCTACAAAGGTCATGTTTTGCTGAACAGACTATACACTGATGTCATTGTCATACTTTTTCATCTTCCTTAGCTGATTTTAAAGCAATTTTTAATCTGTCATTCTCTTCATTTGTTCTGACAAGTCTCACTTCACAATTGCTGAGACTCAGGCTGGCACTTTTTAGTTGTTTCTTTAATTGTTCTAGATCTTTTTTCAGTGAGTTCATTTCGCTATCTTTCGTTTGCAATATAGTGTTCAGGCTGGTTAACTAAAATAATTTTTATACGTTTTGGTGAAAAAAAAACATTAAAAAGAGGAAATGACATTTTCCAAACATAAATTTCCCTTGTTCCTGCCTATATTTCGACTTCTACAGAAAGTAAAAAAATACCACGAAGGTCTAACTGACAACGGCATTTTGAAATAAGCAGTTTACAAATATTTTTCATCCCTGGTTAGTCCACAATATTAAGAATATTTTATTACATATTGAAAATATTTCATTTCAATATGTTCATTTAAACATTTTTATTCCTAACTTGCGGGCAAAAACTAGTTTGAAATACAAAGGCGCATTCTCACGACTCGCGTACTTGACAAACATTTGTAATTGGTATTCAGGGTATTAAAGGTGGGCAAAGATTGAACGAGTATTAAAAATGAATCGGATCCATAAGTTTTGAACGATGAGATGAGCTGTAAAAAAGAATCGTGAGAGTTGAATCGGATCACAGTGCGATTGTTGGTTAAAAAAGTCCTGAGAATCGATTCATTGCTTATAATACGGTTCGTTCAATATTGAATCGTGGCCAGCACGGATCCATAAAATTTGAACGATGAGCCGTAAAAAAAGAATCGTGAGAATTGAATCGGATCACAATGTGATCGTTGGTTCAAAGAGTCGTGGGAACAATAATACGGTTCGTTCAATTGAATTGTCGCCAACACGGATCCATAAGATTTGAATGATGAGCCGTAAAAAGACTCGTGATTCAATTCTCACGATACTTTTTTCTCTAAGGTATTTAATTTTCACGTTAATATTTTTGTTAAAATAATATTACCGACAATAAACTAGTTATGGGATAACTCGAGCGAAAATTCGCTCGAGTACTCGATTATTGAAATAACCGACATCGCTCGATTATGAACGAGCTATGCAAGTGACGAGTACCAAGCGATGAACGCAAGCGATCCTAGAATGAAATAAATTGAAATCCGATTTTAATGTGACCTACTCGATAAAAAGCCGAGCAAATTTTCTACATACTCGTACATTGCAGGTAGCAAATTTATACTTTTTATTTTTTTAGATAAAAAAATGAGATTTGGTATGTTAGTATATGACATAAATTAGGATTGATTGACGTATTCAATTGTTTTCTGTCACTTCTTGTTTCACCGGAAATGACTACAATTTTTGATTTTTAAATGGCACCCTAGGTATTTTTTTTTACTTTATTCGATAGAAAATGACAATAGAATGACGTATCATATGTCAACTTTTGACATATTCGCTTAAAAACAAATTGTATTTTAAATTTCAATCTAGAGTGCCATGGCTGTGTTAAAAACACTAATTTTTAATCAAGGAGCCTTGGAAAAATAGATTTGATCGTCTAGTGTTTTTAGTGTCTTGCCCTGGCCGGTTAAAAGATGCCCAAATCGTATTTTTGATCATATCTCAATTTTTTTCAAATGGAACGAGGGTGGATCATTAGCATATTTCGAAAAAGAATTTTTTTACAAATAATTTGATACCACACACTTGGTAGTTCGAGTCAAATTGTCGTTATGAACCGCATGTTACAATTTCAAATAAACCATATGCGAAAATGTGATGTCATTCTATTCAGAGTGTCATTTTCTACCGAATAAAGTAAAAAAATACCGAGGGTGCGATTTAAAAATCAAAAGTTGCAGTCATTTCCGGTGAAACCGGAAGTGACAGAAAACAATTGAATATGTCAGTCAATCCTAATTTGTATCATATACATACTATAATAAAAAAGTTATAGGGGTGATCCACTTTTGAGACGCACCCGGTATATTTATCCGTTGCGTACCTGAGAGACAAAATTTTACGATCTACATCGACAATGCTTCGAAATAAACTAAATCAGGCGATCAAGCGAATCGCTCGCCGCTTACTACTTGCCGTTCATTACCAAAAGAATATGTGCCCTGCGCACGCAGCTTACTGCTTGGCACTTGGGGTTGAGTACTTACAACATGCGACGGACAAAAAACCGTATTGTTACGGATTCCGTGGGTCCACTAATTTAAACTCGCGATAAAATACTTAACGAATTTATTTTCTCACTTTATACACAATTACTAACTTATAACACACAACAAACTAACTATTTATAAGATTCCTTCACCAAATTGTCCGATTTTCAATTTTCACGCGGTATATTCAAATTTCAAAAACTGTCTCAGTTGTCGATGGCTCCGGCTTATATACTCTATTGACTGCTTCTCGAAATTTCCGGAAAGCGTACTTCTTCATACCAGACAATTCTATTGTCTGATTCCCTTACTTCTCGACTTGACTAAAAGATGGCGCCTGAAAAGTCTTTTTAATTTCTGGCGGATACGTTGCGGTTGTGCAGGCAACCAGTAATACATTTTTAATTTCTGGCGGATAGACCATTTTTCTTGACATTGCCCCCTCTCAAATTTGATCGTCCCGATCAAGGTTTCCTGTCTGGTATCTCTTCAATCGATCCAGATGAACTACTTTCATCTTACTTCTAGGGCTGCGATGAATCCGGTACACAACATCATTTATCCTCTTGATGACTGTATAAGGACCTTCCCATGCTGGAGTTAACTTTGGGGACCTTCCTTTCTTGCGCTGTGGGTTATACAACCATACCCTATCGTCCTGTTGAAATCCCGTAGAATTAGCTCTGAGGTCGTAATGAGCTTTCATCCGGTCACTGGCTAGCGCAATCTTACTTCTAACGGCCTTATGAATGTCCAATAATCTTTCCTTCCTAGCGATTCTTTCGAACGACAGTCCAACGCTATCCTGTTCCATTTCTTCCCCAGATCGAGTACTTGGTCTTTGTCTAGCTGCGCAAATCTTACAACGTTGACACCATTTCTTAACATCTTCGCAATAATCCACCCAGTAAAAACGGTCTCTCAGCTTACTCAAGGTCTTGTTTACTCCAAGATGGGCTCCAGTTTTACCACCGTGAATTTCTTCCAATACCTGGGTGACTTTCTTCCTTGGTACCAGTAACTGAGTTGTTACTGTCCTGCCATCCGCACTTTCCCACGTGCGCTTTATCAATCCATTCTCAATCACCAGTGAATTCCACTGAGCCCAGAGAGCTTTGAAAACGAGCCCTCTGTCCGCAATATCCTGCCACGGTGGTCTCTCGCCGTTACCTTCCTTGAGCCGTAGTATTGCTCCGATGGCTGGATCTTCCATTTGATCTTTCCTCAACTGTATCGTCGTCCATTGTTCGTCAGTTCTCAGTTTAAAATTCCTTACTCTGATAGTGCTTGCGCGATGTTTCATTTTCTTGCCCAAAGTAGCTCGTCGTCGATCTGGCTCGTTGTCGATAATTTGTACCCGTCCTACACGGCACCCAGCGGTTTTCTCTAGTTTCCCGAACACAGTCTTCTTGGTATCACCAGGTATCATCACAATTTTCGATGATCTTTCTTCCATATTTCCTGGTCTCTTCTCTTTAGATACAGAAAATTCCTCGTTTCCGATTTTCAGGATGTTTCTATGGTGATCAAACGAAAAACCATGTTGACTGATCACATCCATACCCATGATAAAATCATCTTCAATGTCTGCCACTAAAACGCTATGCCGAAACTTCAAATTCCCTAACTCCAATTCCATGAAAGCCTCTCCCCGTACAACGGCCATTTCCCCCGTAACTGTACGTAAATACACTCTTCTTCTAAGAGGCATCATCTTCAATCCTTGCACCGAGTTAGTCCGCACCAACGATACCATAGCGCCTGTGTCCACAGTCATTCGAATTCTTCTACCATTGACCTTCCCGTTGATCACCAAACTGTCAGCGGTTTTCCTAGACTCCTAACGGAAAACATCCTAGGGGGCTCCGTTTTTCTTCAGCCAATACTCGCTCATTAGTGTTGATTTCCTGGTGCCTATGTTCTCTCGATGGTAAACGGAATCGCATTTGGACGCGGCAATCCCGTTTGATGTGGCCATTCCTGCCACATCTATAGCAACTTATGTCCTGGGATCTTCCGATGTGCCGATGTTCTCTGGATGGTGAATGGAATCGCATTTGGATGCGACAATCTCGTTTGATGTGGCCATTCCTGCCGCATCCATAGCACCTCATATCCTGGAATCTTCTTTGGTTCTCTGTCTGGGTGTTGTTGACTCTCTTGTTCACTAGTAATTCACATAGTTTATCGAATTTTCTACACATCTCCTCCAAACTTCTGTGGGTACTCTCGGGCTGTTCCTCTACCGTTACCGATCTTATCTTCGGTCTAGGGATGGCGCTAAAAGCAGCTTCGATTTCCAGCGCCCTGACCAGTGCTTCGCTGCTGGTGGAAAATCGGGATATTTGCAGCGCCCTCTGTAATTCGTTGTCCCACAGTCCGCTGATAAAGCACTGAGCAGCGAGTTCCTCCCTAAATCCTTCCGGTGCTTCTGGATATGCCAGGTGTACCAGCCGACGTAAGTCTGCTTCGAATTCCTGAAGACTCTCTCCGGACCTCTGCAGGCGTGTCTTGATCTGTGCCTGGTAAAGTTGACGTCGATGTTGATCGCCATATCTTCTGTCCAATGCAGCAACCAAGGTTTCGTATTCCTGCTGTTGGGCTGCAGGAATAGTTTGCAGCAGTTCCAGGGCAGGGCCGCGCAGCGCGATGACAAGTGCCGCTGCTTTCTCCTGGTCAGTCCATCCGTTGGCAGCGGCGGCTGCCTCAAACTGACGGTGGTACATTGTCCATGTCGTTTGTCCATCGTAGGTCGGGGCCTTAAGGTTCGCTGTTCCAAAGACGCCAGGTGTCCTTGCATGTGCCTTGGTCTTCTGTATGTCCATCTCTAATTTTTCCATTTTCTGTTGAAGGCGCTCCTCCAGATCTTCTACGACTTCTTGGAAGTGGGCCTCTTGTCTTCGTTCCGAATTTTCGAGACTTTTCTGCATGCGGTCTTGATCTTCAATTTTGTCCTTCTGGCGACGTACTTCTAAATCTTCAACAATTTTCTCCAACCGTTCTTGTCTAATTTCTTGATTTTCTAGAATTTTCTGAACACGGTCCTGTTCTTCTTGTCTTTCTCTATGACGTCGCTCCTCCAAACGAATTTCCAAATTTCCTATTATTTTCTCAAGCCGGTCCTGTTCTTCTTGTTTTTCTTTCTTTTGACGCGCTTCTAAACCTTCTAACATTTTTTCTTGATTTTCCCTAAGTATTTTCTGTAGGCGGTCTTGTTCCTCTTCTTTCTCTTTTTCTAGTCGGGCTCGCTCTTCTTCTCGTTCTTTACGTAGTCTTTCTTGTTCTTCTGCCTTCTCTCTTCTCATATTCTCCATAAAATCGCCCAATAATTTGCTTACTTCCTCCATTTTCTTCGCTTGCTCCCTTGTACCAACCATAAAAATACTCCAATTCGGTCTAAAAATCTTCCAATCCACTTAATTTCTTCTTAAAATCCTCTTGAATCGCACTTCCGACACCAATTGTTACGGATTCCGTGGGTCCACTAATTTAAACTCGCGATAAAATACTTAACGAATTTATTTTCTCACTTTATACACAATTACTAACTTATAACACACAACAAACTAACTATTTATAAGATTCCTTCACCAAATTGTCCGATTTTCAATTTTCACGCGGTATATTCAAATTTCAAAACTGTCTCAGTTGTCGATGGCTCCGGCTTATATACTCTATTGACTGCTTCTCGAAATTTCCCCAATTCTCGGAAAGCGTACTTCTTCATACCAGACAATTCTATTGTCTGATTCCCTTACTTCTCGACTTGACTAAAAGATGGCGCCTGAAAAAGTCTTTTAATTTCTGGCGGATACGTTGCGGTTGTGCAGGCAACCAGTAATACATTTTTAATTTCTGGCGGATAGACCATTTTTCTTGACAGTATTTTTAAATACGAGCGATATTTCGCTCGAATGATCACTCGGTTATTGCAATCGCTTGATACTCGAGTACTCGATTATTGAAATTAATCGGTTTTTCCCATCACTACTATAAACCATTAATGTCGGACTCAAAGACGAAATCGGGTTTTTATGCAACTCCAAATAAATATTGTTGGCCTCTGCTCAATATGATAAGAAAACGGCGTTAGCGATAGTTATAACAGAGTAAGTGGATCGCGTTATAACATGAAGATCGCTGTCATTTTATATGAAAAATTATATGGGGAATGTCATCGATGTTCATTTCCAAGCCAACTGGACGCCATTTTTTTATTTTCGATCATGCGGTATTATATACTATTTATTATGATTATTAAATCGGAATTAAAATATGGCTCTAAATATATTAAATTGGTATTAAGAAGTCTTAGTATATATGAATAATCGAATTCATATATATATATACATATACTAAAATTATCAATCCAGATAATTTAATATTAATTCGTAAAATAATCAATCCAATTACGCCAGTGTCAGAGAGTGTTGAAAAACAAATGAAAGAACTGTATATTTCTTTTTCTGGTCCTTTAAGTAATTGTCCAGCCGAATTATCACCGGTAGTGCCAGTTACGATTCTTGTTTTTATGAAACGTAAATTGTGCATGTTGTTCGTTCAAATGAACGAATCGTAGGGGTCTATTCAATTGAATCGTGTGATTCGATTCACTAAAAAGAATTGTAATGCCCGTCACTACAGGGTATACACACGGTGCGTCGGGCATCTTTACAGAATTTCTAAGTTATTTATTTGTAGGAACTACGCCGCACGCCCGCCAGACCCTGTAGGCCAATAAAAAATACTTGCCAAGTAGGTACACGAGTCGTGAGAACGCGCCATAAAATAAATTTCTATACAAACCCCAGAATCACTATAGCAATATATTTTTATTCTTAATCTAAGACAATATCCATGTGTGCGTGAGTAAGTAGTTTAATTTAATAATGTTATCACCAATGATTCACCTTTTAATGCAATGATTTTGTTATGTCTATAGAAAGGAACAGCGCGAATAAACATACCATAGGATCATAAAAAAATACGTTAATTTGGCTTGGAAATATCGCTTGAATCGCTGCTGTTTTATCTGTAATATATGGGGAAAATCATTGATCGACCATTTCCAAGCTAACTTGACGTTTTTTCATTATACGCTTATGCTTACGGTTTTTGTTTTCATTTTGATAAACTTTACATACCTGGCTCTCTAGCTTACCAACTGTATTTTTTGCTCCATTATATGCTAAAAACCATTTTTCTTTTTCCTCTCTGAATTGTTGATTTTCCTTTTGACATTTTCTGATTTCATCATTCTATAAAGAAATTTCTGTGGATATTATGTGCGACATAAGCGCCGTCGCCGGGGCCGGGGGACCAAGGTGTCAAATGTGAGAGTAAGACAATTGAAAACTATCAAAGCCAGTAAGGCAAAACTTCCATGGCACTGCGGACAGCATTAAATATCTTAACATATATTTCATTATGTTAAATACATCAGAAATTTTGAAGCGGTGTTCCTAGAGTTCCTATAGAATGTTGGCCGTGGCCGAATCATTGAGCTGAATTTTGATTTTGATTGATTTGAACAGTTTCAATGTTTAAGACTGAGTAATCTGATGCATGTCTGATGAGTAGAGAAGACTTTGAAAATATAATTAATAAGTCTTTTATAAAAAAAAGATTTAAGTCCTTAAAAAGATTTAAGTCTTTTTATAAAAGGTATAAGTCAGATTTTTATATATTTTTATGATATATTTTTAACAGCAGCAAAGCAGCATTCTTTTTTAAACTGCAATCGGCAAAATAAAAAAACAATGTCCAATACCACTAGCAAATAAAACGTTAGTTTTTCGGAACCGGTTTTGATTATTTGTCCGATTTGTCGTATTACGCGTGTGTAGTGAATCTGTTCCTGTTGTCTTCAAATGAATCCCCGACTCCGTAATGTAGCCCGCAATACGAATGAAAGAAATAATTGATCTCGAATATATTGAAGAGTGCCTTAAAATCCTCCAGCCCTTATATCTTATGCCGTCTATACCTATATTACATAGTGATCAAAACACATCACCCGTTTTTAATAGACATGTATTCGATGACATCTAAACCTGTAATGGATACATAAAAAGTACTACAAAATCGGTCAAATTTTATAAAAAAACATGTTTTTGTGTTTGCAGTTGTTCTGAAAATTAGCCGTTTTATTTTATGTGGTTTTAGCAGTTTTAGTCTCATCTGTACCATCTCAATAAGTTAATATGATAGTAAGAAAATCGCTAATTGGTAAGCAACAAAATTAATATTAACATTTAAAAAAAGGTAATTAAATTGAATTGTTGTCTTGACTTGAGGGTAATTATATTGATTTAAGTCATTTTACTGACTTAACTTGCAGATCATCATGATTTAAGTCAAAAGTATAAGTATAGAGTTATGTCATAAAAACAACTTAAATAACGTTATATTGATTTAAGTCTTTATAAAAATGACTTGACGGCCTACTTGAATAAAATGATTTAAGCACGGATGTATATATATATATATATAATATACCCCATCCGTGGATTTAAGTCAAAGACTTCAGACTTAAATCATTTGAACTTTATGTTGAATTTTACTTAAGACTTAAATCATTCTGATTTTAGAAATGACTCAAGACTTAAGTCTTTTTAAAACTGACTTGTTGCAGCTCTGGGATTCTGATTGGTACAACAAGGGTACAACAGTTTTCTAGAGCATTAGTGGTGTAACACGAATATCAACAGATTTTTGGCAGTAGGTGATTCGTAAATTTATAGAACCTGTTTATTTTTGATCAGTCCAACGACACGTCCACACCTAAGGTTTGCCTAAGGTCCACACTACGGCTACCACTTAAAATGTGGAAATAAACTTTAGATTAAGAACATTAAGAATGAAATAACACAGCGAACCTTGATGTTCACCGATTCGCGGCAGGTCTTGCAAAAATAGCATATGGAAGCTAAACGAAGACCTGAAATTTGTCTTGAAACACTGGGGGCATAAGATTTTGGTATAGAAATATCTACCTATACCTACCTTGTGCTCTAGATCACTTTGTAATCTTTCTTTTTCGGGTATAATTGATTTTAGTTTTGCTCTGTATACTCTACATAGTCCATTACTGTAATTATTAGAATTTTCTGATGTTTTCTGTTCATCGAAAATAAAATCATTTGTAAAAATATCCTCGTGATCTTTAGACGATTTTGCTGGGACCTTATAGTGAGCTTTTTTCACGTTGCTTAGTTCTACTTGAGTCTTTAAGCTATCTCTTATCATATTATCTTGTATTTTCTAAAATAATAGTAAAGATAAGTATTGATTTGATTAAAAATAACCAAATACTACCATAACATCATTAACTTTTTGTAGTAATTGTTTAGTCTGTTCTTCGATTTTTTCATTCTCCTTGTAATATTCATCTTCTTTCATCAACAAACCTGATTCCATTTTAAAATAAAAACACTCCTTAGGATCAGCAGGGAGTATAAATTAAGTCAATAAGTCCTTATCTCTTTTAGGATAAAATCACAATATGATAAAATCTTAAAACCAAGATAAAACCTGATAAAACAAATCATTGTTGTCATAGATACTGTACAACAAAGCTGTATAATACAATACATATTTTTTAATTGTAAGCCATGAAGCAGCTTAGTTTCTATGGCAATGGTAAAGGAACAAATATTGATTTTAAGTATAGTTCGTCTATCAAGAGAAAAACTAACTTTTCAATAGAGAACATTAGAAAAAAAACTGTCGCCTTGATATTTTTTTTGGATGGACAAGAGTCTAATAAAATACAAGTTGACTATATAAAAATATTTATTTTGTTAATATTGATATACAATGTTCTAAAAACTAAAATAATCAACTTTGGTAAACAATTTGGAAAATTATAAAATGTATATAATATGATCAAGAATTATTCACCTAATCAGTCATAATATAGAAAGCGTTTTGAAAAATACAACATATTCAATAAAATATTCTAAAGAATTTGCAGGGTTTATGTACTCTGCAGATGGGTTGTCAGTTACCACTTGCACAACTAACAACACATGTGATGAAGACGGGGACATACCAACGGATTTGCGAAATTGGACTTGAGGAAGTCCACATCTTCGATGGTCTATATTATATTTTATAGCATTTCCATAATATAGTTTATTTATTTTTATAAATCTTCTTACCTTAAAAAATGAATACTATTAACTACAATATATACCACAATATTGTAATATCATACTTACCCTATAATACTGTGTATGAGGATTACTTGTTACTAACAGTTGTTCTCGAATTAACAATTGACCCAAGTCATGAATATTTTGAATTCTGATAATTTTTTGAACAGAGAAGTGGGTGCTGTAGACGGCTTTGGTGATTTCGGAAAAAATGTTCTTAAATTCGTCACTACTTGATGATATGTTTTCTTCTCTATTTTGCAATGTCTTGTCCCAGTACGAGGGAGCATATTTTAAGATTTCTTGATTTAAGCTCATTGTACTTAATCACACCTCAGTAAAAGATATCTAACTTTTATAAAGCTCACAGGAACGAGGCAACGAGACTTTATTCGCTTAACCAAAGGCTTAACTACGACAAAATTACTCTGTTATCATAGACAAAGATACTACTTTCTTATAGTTTCCTATGTCTATTACCTTTGTCAATCTTTGTATGAAACATGAAATAAATGGGCCAAATATATTTATGCACAAAATATGACAGATATCCAGAGACTTCCCCGCCATACTAATCGAACATAGGTACCAACCATAACATAAAATAAGTTTCTCGAGGTGCCAATAACATGGTGCCAACTAGGGTTGTTAGTTAGATGTCAGATAGAGAATTATCGTCATAACCGTTAAGAATTATCGTTTAATGGACAAAAGTAAGGTTTAAAAACAACCCAAAAGCTGATTATATTGAATTCACTTTATTAGCATATATGTTTCCGAATTATTTCCGGTATTATAACTAGGTATTAAAAACGTTCTAACAAAATAAGCCAAATAACAATTAAACTTTGAAATAAACCTTAAAAATAAACGTCTTTAGTTTAGCTCAGAGGGCTCAGAGATATATGGTAGGTTATACAGCCAAATAAAATAAAATAAGAATAAAATAAAATAAAATAAGAAAGTTGGTTGTATGGGATACCGTACATGCGTTCATACAGCCAAATAAAATAAGAAGTCTTTATAGGTTTAGCTACAAACTACCTTAAGTGAAAATTATGAAATTAAAGGACAACAACAACAAACGGCAACATTGTCGAGTGCCAGAGTAGACTAGTGGGACTTAGGCAGGGCGCCCACCAAAGTAACGTGGTTTATAACATGGTGTATGATCTAGCAAGTGGCATGCATCTGGCATGCTACATCAAACTGAACCAACGTAAACAAATAAACAGGAACCCACCAAAGTGACAAAGCGAGCAACGCGCATATGTCGTGACACGTGGCATGTCATGCGACTGCATTAAAAATAGAACATGTTCTAATACTTGTCACGTCAGAAGGCCGCAAAGTTGGTTTCATCCTATAGAAAGACTGAAATTTGTCTGGAAGTTTGCCCTGCCTTAGGCAGGGCGCCCACCAAAGTGTCGTGGTGCGTAGCATATGATATGGCGCGTGCAGCATGACCACGATGTAAGTAGCGTGGCTCAGTAGACGCGCACTTAAATGGCAAAAGTTAGCAGAAGCAAACCAGCAGTTGGCATTTGATACATTTGTATAGTTCCTCGCCATTATGAGAAAATAATGTCGTCCTCAGATGAAAATGCCTTAGCCATAGTAAATTTAATTAATATTAATAAAAAACGGACTAAACGTAAGCATTGTGGTAGTGTGGCAGTCATATAGCGGATTTAATGTATTTAAAGGATTGCATCAATATCCGGACAAATTTCAGTCTTACTATAGTATGAAACCAACTTTGCAGCCTTGTGACGTGACAAGGATTAGAACATGTTCTATTTTTAATGCATTCGCATGACATGCCACGTGTCACGACATGCGCGTTGCTCGCTTTGTCACTTTGGTGGGTTCCTGTTTATTTGTTTACGTTGGTTCAGTTTGATTGTTTGATGTAGCATGCCAGATGCATGCCACTTGCTAGATCATACGCCATGCTATAAACCACGTTACTTCGGTGGGCGCCCTACCTTAGGCAGGGCGCCCACCAAAGTGTCGTGATGCGTAGCATATATGATATGGCGCGTGCAGCATGACCACGATGTAAGTAGCGTGGCTCAGCAGAAGCAAAGTAAAAAACCAGCAGTTGGCATTTGATACATTTGTATAGTTTCTCGCCATTATGAGTAAATAATGTCGTCCTCAGATGAAAATGCCTTAGCCATAGTAAATTTAATTAACATTAATAAAAAACGGACTAAACGTAGGCATTGGATACAACCGTATTGGGAAATACAGGCAGTCATATAGCGGATTTAATGTATTTAAAAATTGCCTCAATATCCAGACAAATTTCAGTCTTTCTATATGATGAAACCAACATTGCAGCCTTCTGACGTGACAAGAATTAGAACATGTCCTATTTTTAATGCAGTCGCATGGGTTCAGTTTGATGTAGCATGCCAGATGCGTGCCACTTGCTAGATCATAAGCCATGTTATAAACCACGTTACTTCGGTGGGCGCACTGCCTTAGACTTAGACACTGTTTAGCACAGATAATAATTTGTTGTATGTGCTGCTATGTGTAACAGCAGATAAGAACAACCGTTGTTCGATTGTTCTTCTCTGGTAACAGGGTGTAATGATAGCAGAGATGATAATGAACTTTGAATATTTTTATCACACTGGTGACTTGTTCAGCTTTAATGTAAAAGCCGCGCCGCAACAATAAGAAAGAGACTCGATGAGCTCTAAATTATAATAATTATATTTTTGTCTTGCTACTATATGTTTTTAAATATAAAATATATAATGTTAAAATTTAAAATACCATTTCTATTTTTTTTTCTCAAATATTTAAAATAATTTAATAATAAAAATAAATTACTCAAGTAGACGCTCCATAATAATAAAAAATAGTTATGGTAAATTATTTATTAAGTTAGTTTCTGGACAAGAATTAATGCGTTCGTTACCCACGGTATATATTTTTTGTATTATAGGGTATATGGTATATAAAGGAAATGAAAAAGAAACAATTCTTAAAACGCTGGATATTATATTTAGTGTATGTTTATTTTTACACTGCAAGGCTGATAAACAATTTTTTTCCGATATTATTAATATCGATAACTGCTCTCACTGGATAGCTTGTTCCAATATGGCAATTCTCTGTACAATACATTGCTGGAGGACATAAATCTTGCCATTGGGAAGAATTGGATAAGGAATCAGTGAAATAAACACCATTTTCCTTTAAATATGGATAGAAATCTGATAGCGCTGGTTTAGGATAATTTGATTGATATTCAGACACCATGCCACTGTAATTAAATATTTGTAACAAAATTTATATAGCTATATGGTACAAAACATACAAATTAGGTACTCTTTTAGGTGCTGAGGATAAAAATCTATTGGGAAATACAATTTTAAAAATGCTTTTATCATACATATTTGTACGCCCATGAGATTTACCAGGTAATTCTCCAGGAAATCCCTACAACACAAATGTGATATAGTACGGAAGAAACAGCTTAGAATAAATAACAATATACTTTATGCTTTCCATTTGAGTTGTAATAAGTTATTATGTCTTCTTGAGCTTTTTTAAGTTGATCATTTGTACAAGGGACAAAATTGGACTTATTCTCAGTAAGATAAATATCTAAAAGTTTATAATATCCTTTTTCTGCAGGATTTATATTTGGCTGTATTGGTTGATAAGTCTCTGGAATCTAGATAGAATGATGTACATTCTGCATAATATGTATTTTAGTAATATTATACCTTGCATATATTATTCATGACTTTGTCTTCAGAATGCTGTATTTGATGAAACCTGTAGGTATCTTTCATTTCAGACAAAGTACTTGGTTTTATGGGAGGAGGCTTCATGAAAAGCTATAAGATAATTTGTTAATGGAAAAAAATAAATTTCTTTAGGGAATATTACTTTTTCTTGATTATTTCTAATATATTTTGCTCTTTCATTTAGCATAGGTCGTTCGTGGCTTTTTAGTATATCAGTTTCAACTGATTTTTTATTATACTCTTTGGAATAAATACTTTTATATTCATCACGAATTGTTACATCTCTGTCTAATAGTTCAGGTTTTATTTTGGCTTTTACTCGCTAAAAACTTATACTTTTTTAATTTAACAGTACAAATACGTTTAATCCTTGTAGTTTATATATTGTCTTTTTTGTACTTACACAATCAAAGTCTTGAGAAATTCCAGCTATAAAACGATGGTTTTTACCAGTAGAAGTCCTATAATCAGTGGATTTTAATGCCAAAAGTGGAGTACCATAATCTATATGAGAATAAGAATTTTGAGTACATATCAGTGGAGCCATATTTTTTTTTTATTTAAGCAAGAAAGATGAAGCATTAAACATATATGGATATTGATCAAACATGACAACCATATGACAAAGGAAAAATTAACTCTACCTTTTGCTATATAAAACACAAATATAATTAGGGTATTAATTTATTAAAATCTATAGTTTTTATAGATTCATACAGTGGTCATCAACATATGCAATAACTAAATTTTCTCCATTTACAATGCTATGCTCATTTAAAAGTTTATCTAGATTACAAGACATATTATTTGAAACTATAGTATTCCCTTCGTGTTTAAATAATCTTAATTTCTTCTCAGTACTCTTGTTGTTATTATTTTGAAGTTTACATTCTACAGTAATAGCATCAGTTACTCTACCCAAAGACCAAGTTTTTGATACAAATACTGCCAGAGATTTTGTGTAGTTTACACCATAATGAATATTAAAGTATACTCTATCAGTTGAAGGAATTGTTTTTTGTCCTACAGCTTTATTTTTTATCTTCATCAACTGAACTTGAGCAGCCATTTCCTTGTTCTTAGATTTTTTTCCTGCCCTAGACAAGTTTTCTGCAATCTATTTAAAATACATACAAATTTCTGTTACACATTAGAACCTGATAATATTTACCTGATTATCCACCACAGCTTTTGCTTCGTTAAATTTTCTAATTGGTTCACTAAACTTCTCTTTTTCTATTTCCAATTCTTCTTTCGATTTTTCTCTACATTCAGTCAAATGTCTGTGTTGAATACAGAAATGTTTTTTACATCTAAAAAGTTAACAAACTAAGGAAAAAATAATCACAAACACTCTCCTTACTTTTTACAAATTAAAGGAATAACGCTTCTTTCTTTACAATCCTCCTTGGAACATACCAAAACATTTTCAATTTTTTTCAACTGGTCTTCAGATAAACTCTTTGATGCCACACAAGTCTGAATATGAATATTTAAATGTTTGGGGCAAAATACATTGTTACACTGACATCGGAGGGGGAGAAAATCGAGCTGTTTACAATTTTCGTATGAGCATTGTTGTCCCACATCAGGTAGTTCCATTATAGTATTGAAAACAATCTCTATTTATTGGTGTTCACTGAGACTGCTTAACATGATATCAGTCCACTTTTGCTCTTGTTCTTTCAGAGTCAAATGAATGTCTCCTGAGTCAGCTTCTGGATCAGCTAGCTCATATACTGGCACTTCGATGTCGTCCTCAGGTAACTTGTCTGCACGCCAGGCATCATCCACCAAATCAGCAAAATGACCATTTACCGAAACATCTCCGTCTGACATTTGAACGATTAAATTACTGCTGATCGTGTAGAATAAGGAATGAAATGATTCAGCCACAGGATTCAGCGGATTCAGTGTGATTCTGCTCTAAATCTAAAATCACAAGTCACTCTAACAGGGTTGCCAGATGAAATTTGACGCGTGTCGCAGAACTCAAAAGTTTGAGATAGCCCTAAAGCCCCATAAAATAATAAATACAAGAAGAAGTGTCAAGTCAATGTTAAATTATGGAAACAGCGTGGCTGCCTGGGTAACTAATTTTCAGATATGGCGGCTGGGACATTTGACATGACATAGACATGACAATTTCAATTTTATGAAATTTATTTCCGTTTCCGGTTTTTAATGGCGGGCTGTTATTATTGTAGTACAAAAACTAATTATTTTGGTGTTTAAGTGACATAAACTACTACCAGATATATGGTCACTCTCGGTTTCGCATAAAAAATAGAAAAATTGAAAAATTACACGTTGTGTAAGTGATTTAACCTAAAAGTGCCCATACATTTTTTACTTATCGTGATTTTTGTGTGTGTTTTTTAAGACTCTAACAATTCATCAATAAAGCTTAAGTGGAGTGTGTTTTTGGTGCTATGCCTCATCTTTGTTGTGTTCCTGGTGGAAAGGATAGTTATACTAGGCAGCCTAAAGTGCCCGGAAGAGCAAGAAAAGTGGGTACGAGTTATAAATCAAGAGAATCCTATTGAAAATATCTTTAATAAATTTAAAAATAATATTCTCCCATGATGGTATTAATGAAAACTGGACTGGTCTGTCTGTTTATCGGTCTGTTTGATATATTTTTTTATCGGTATGTAACCAACAACTTTGATAAAAAAATAAATATTGTTTTTGGATTCTAGTTTTGAAGAAGTAAAAAAATAATTATTTTCAATAGTGGTCTCACATGTCTCAGAATGAGTAGTCGGCACGTAATCAAGAAAGTATGGACTAGATTTTTCGAGTACCTATTACAGGCAAGCATCTAAAAATTAATTTCGGATGATGAGGGGGTTCCAAAAATTTTAATAACCATTTCGGGGGAAGGGTGGTTTTGGGTGCCACATTTTTTTTCTCCTTCTATTTTTGGATTGGAGCAACTAAAAGGTTTTAAATTTAGCGTAATGTAATGAGTTTAAAAATAATTTGTTTAAATGCTTAAATTTTTAAAATCGGTTCATTATTTTAGTACATATCATAGTTTGAATTTACGTGTGGATATTTTAATAAGTTAAGCCGCCATCTTGAAATTTTAAACTGTCATATTTAGACTAAAACGTAATATTTTTAAACATATTGCCTTACTTCAAATCTCCATGTTGTTCCATTAAAAAGATAAAAAAGGAGTGGGGACATTGTATATTATCTAAGCCTCGATCTAAGCATTAATTCATTTAAAACCCACAAAATTTGTAGATTTGAGGTGGGGTGGGAGTGAAGGGTCTAGGACTCTTGGACCTCCTAACTATGTGCTTGATTACAGGCGATTCATGAGTATCAGATTTTATTAAAATCACACGAACTTAATCTAAATAAATCATAAAGACCTATAGTATCTATCTATTACTCAAAGTACCAGGGACATACTTACATTTAAAAATATTTTTTTTAAAGTTGCGCAAAGTTGCGCAAGATGGTAACAAATACATGAAGGGTAATGTCCAATCTTTCAAAAAACATAAGCCAATAAATTGGGCAACTTTGGGCACTCCACAAAAGTCAAGGTTAAATAGCATATTTTATTTTTTATGTTTTATGTTACTAATTTATTAATTAATTTAGTATGCATCAGTGAAAAAGTTTTTTTTTCAAAATATAGCTCGAAATAGTCAAGTAGTATTGTACTTTTATAAAAAATACAAAAAATTAATTGTATTTAAAAATTAACCAAGAAATTTGACTTATTATTTGGGCCCTGCAAATTGCAATTATTATACACGGTAGAACTAAACCTTCGACATTACTGCCCTTCACTGGTTACAGATCTGCATCCAAAATTTTTTTCTGTGCATAATATAATATTTCGGTCTTTTCTGTATTCTATGGTCATCAAAACTTTTTGAAAAAGCAACTTCTGTTTTATAAGGTTCTGGCCGCAAAAATGGCAATCGGCCCCACTGTGCGTCGGTGGGCGTAGGAGTCATAGCCGAGTGGCCAAGCCTAAGGCCGAGTTCACACGGTACGGGTCCGCAACAATATACATATAAATTTTGTGAATGCAAATAATAATACATCACTAGTAGATATTGAATGTTTTTTGTTAAAATAGATCGATTTTCAAACCCCAAAATTTAAAATATATTTACATTTTACCCATTATCTTATGTACCTATACATTATTTGTACATTGTAAAACATTTGCTGCATTTGTATGGTTCATATAAATAGGTATATATGTCGTAGTTATTAACTGTATATTATATATATTTCATGTAAACTATATCATTTTTAAAATACAAACCAAAAATCTGAGGAATAATTATGTTTTCCATGTATTCTACAACATATTTATTAATCCGTTATATCTAACTAGCGTGACGTCATAAATCTCGCCCGTAGGCTGATCTTTTAATAGAAGGCACTGGTTTGAGATAGCCCTTAAAGCCCCGTTCTCAGAACTGCGTCGTGTCGACAGCGACACTAAATTTAAAATTGACAGCTGTTTGAATTTTGTACCAAATCTGATTGGTCCTCTTGACGTGTCGCTCTGGCGACAGTCAAAGTTCTGAGAACGGGGCTTAAAGCCCCGTTCCCAGAACAGCGTCGTGTCGACAGCGACTGATTGACACTTCAAACGACCAATGGGAGCTGTACTAAAGTTAAAATTGACAGCTGTTTGAATTTTGTGCAAATCTGATTGGTCCTCTTGACGTGTCGCTGGCGACAGTCGCTGTTCTGAGAACGGGGCTTCGTTCTCAGAACTGCGTCGTGTCGACAGCGACACTGATTGACACTTCAAACGACCAATGGGAGCTGTACTAAATTTAAAATTGACAGCTGTTTGAATTTTGTACAAATCTCATTGGTCCTCTTGATGTGTCGCTGGCGACAGTCGCTGTTCTGAGAACGGGGCTTTAGATAGCCCAATGTCGCAGAATGGTCGCAGATTTTGCCAAACATTCAAAATAGCCCAAAATCGCAGATCAAAAATACATGACGTCTCTTTTATCGTTTTTTTTTCTTTGTGACTTTATTAAAAGGCAGCTGTTAAGATAGCCCAAAGTCGCAGATTTTGCCAAAAAGCAGTAAAAAAAACTGTTTTTTGAAAAGTGGGGTAAAGGAAAAAGAAGAACTAAAGAGAAATAATTGTTAAATTTTGGTTAATATAATATTATGATTATTGAACAGTATTTATATTAATATGCAGTGTTCCTAAATATCATGTACAAACGAAAGGGGGTGATCAAAGGGGGTGATTTTTTGGCTCTTTGACATATTTTTAATATTTTATGACTAAAGTTTCATCATAGATAAATAAAACAAGTTTAGATTGGAAAGTGCCCATAAGGACAATGTAAACACTATTTGGCGCTATTCTTGCAACGGTCGCGACCCAAAACTTTTGAAAATTTCGGAGCGGTTCGGCTTTTTCCGGATTTATATCGCCAAATATTGTTTATTCAAATTTATTATTATTTTCGTTTAATTTTATAAATAAAATACAGTGTGTTGCATACAAGAAACTTTATTTTATATAAGGACGCATGTATGAAATACCTATGAAACACTGGAAACCGACGTTATGCCATGATCCACGATGGTTTTTGCAGTTCACAGTTCACAGTTCACAGCACAGCTTTTTAAGTTTTTAATGCCACTTTTTCACAATTATCACCGGTTGGAGTAAATAAAACTTGAATTAAACTCACAAGATAGCAATAATTACTTTGAAAATGTACGTTATAAACACTTTTCGGAATTTCTTTAATGAGAGCGGTTTAGATTTTGAAAGATTATTATGATTTTTGAAGATTCTGACTTTGACAAGAGAAAATTATTTCTGTTTTTGTTTGCCGTTGTTCTTAGCGACCGCTATAGCAGCGCCAGATCGCGTATAACGGTCGCGACCCAAAATAATTTCGCGACCTAAAATTTGTACGGGCTTTCCAATCTAAACTTGTTGCATTTATCTATGAGTTTCATATAAACATAGATCTGCAAACGTTTGGTTTTCAAGCTACAGTGTGTCAAAATTTTACCTGAATTTTTTTTTCTAATTATATCTCGACAAATTGTTTTGCTGGTTTTGTGAAAATTTGCAAGTGTTATTTATTGACAAGATGCAAGAAGCTAAGTTAGCACTAGCCAAAAAAACACCCCTTTCGTTTGTAGCCCAAAAAAAATCAGAAAATTTTTGAGAATCACCCAATCTGCGACTAGTCGAAGGGAGATAAAATGTGTCCCAAAATAGTTTTTAAAGTAGCCCAATTTGCGATAAGTCGCCCAATCTGGCAATCCTGCTCCACCAGACTGCAGATCACCTGCAGCCTGCAGATCTCTGTGTGTCTGTCAGTTGTCAATGTTGTGCATAGAGAAATAAATTTTAAGAGGGAAAGTCAGAGATATAAAATAATTAAAATTTTTTCTATGGTGACATAAGGAAGGAGCATAATGCTATCCATGTATTCATGCATGGTGGGCGGAAAAGCCACCATAAAAACTCTCTAGGGTGGGGATTCTTGACAGTTCTGTTTGACGATTCATTTGACACATTTGAATTTGATTTGAAATTTTGTGGATTTGTCAGTCTTTACGGAGCTTATTTTATGTTATTTATTATTTATTCTACTACTGATAGTTGTATAAAGGTAGTAAATCTAGATGGAAATTGTGGCAGAACTTAAATTAACAGTGACACTATCGCGATTTATCGAAAAAGACTCTAAAATAGTTGGTTGTGTAGCGTGCGGTAGATCTCGGCAAAAATTGAGTGAAATAATGGAACAACTTTTCGCTAGTAAGTGACTATATAATATACATACGTGTAGTAAACCGATCATTTATGAAATTCACTTAAATTAACTAAATTATATATTTTTCTTGCATTTTAGCTTTTATTTATTACTTGTCAAAGATTAGATGTCAAAGAATTTAGATACGTTAATTTGACTTACCTGCTTCAGTAGCGTATCGGATGTTTGTGTTAATA